CAAGGATCAGGGAGGATGGGTCAGTTCAACTTCTGCAGGCACAAAGATTCCATGTTTAAAAGTAGAAATACGTAAATTACATTTGAAAAAATGTTTGACTGCTGCTTTTGTCATTTTAGACGTGCCAAACTCTGGACGTGGACTTACAAGGTATGATACTTCATTTATTGGTTTCTCTTTAATGTTTGACATTAGGAAGACAGAAGCAAGAAATGTAGCTTTTGTAATATAATAGTTTCCTTGGGATCATCTTTACCATTAGACTTGAGCACAGTTCATTCCTTCCAGAAAAAAAGAAGGATTTTTATAATCAGCAGTTGGGAGTGACACTTGTCTTCATTTGTGTCTGCGTGTACTTTTTTTCTGATAGGTTGGAATACCGGCAGGAATGGGATAAAGATTTCACCGAGTACTTGGCCAAATTGGATGAAACCAAGCCAGTCATCTACTGCGGTGATCTGAATGTAGCTCATGAGGAGATTGGTAAGAACTGAAGTCACCTGTCACCTTGGTGAAATATCTGATATTATGTCACTCATGTACTCATAACCACATGTATTCCTGTGTGTATTTTAGATCTAAAAAATCCCAAAAATAACCACAACAAGACACCAGGATTTACCGATGAGGAGAGGGAAGGGTTCTCTGCTTTACTGAACAAAGGCTTTGTAGATAGCTTCAGGCATCTGTATCCTGACAGAGAATACGCTTACTCATTCTGGACGTACATGGGAAATTGCCGAGCTAAGAATGTTGGATGGTAAGAAACAAGCACCAATTTCCGATCAGTGTCTTAAATTATGTCAATCTGAAATTTCAATTTTTTTTAGAAATAGGAAGGAAGATCTTTGGCAGTATAAGATGGTGAGATTTAGCATTTACACGATGTAAATTCCAAATGAGGACCTGTGTTTCATTAGTGCAGCAGCAAAAATTTTCAGCATGTATGCAGAAAAAGTTAGTGTGCAATTTCTGACTCCTTGCTTTATGATTAGATGATGGCTAATCATAAGGGAATCTATCATTTGTTGTTTATTTGATACAGGCGCCTGGACTATTTTGTGATTTCAAAGCGACTGGTACCCAAGCTGTGTGACACTGGTATGCGGACGTGGATCAAGGGTAGTGATCACTGTCCGATTGTACTTCATATGGCCATGTAATAAGTTGACAGAGGACAGGTGACAAATCAACTTGTTACATGTACCAGCACTTTTTAGGGTGCCGTTGATCAAACAAATAAGAAAACTTGACATGTTACACTTCAGGACACTACACAAACTTGGGGATGTATTGTTTGTTTTATATGGCACAAGATTGTGTCTGAGGCTGCATCTGAATCTCTTGTCTAGAGCTAGGTCTTGGTATTCAATCCATTGGAAATGCATGGAGACGCGCAGACAATAGACCTAGCCGTAGGTCTGGAAGCTCGTTTCGGACACGGCGTGAGTAGAGTCCGGAATATTATGTGTTTTGAAAATGAACCTTTGAAGAAAACTTTCCAACATTGTAGTATGCATTACTGGACAGATTGTTCCAAATGTTTTTTTATTTGATGAGTGAAATGGCATGGCTCGGTGGATTGTGCTACAAAACTGTTGAAAATAAAATGTAATGACACTCACGGGGGGCATTAATGAGCAACATATACATAATTTTATGATACCGTCTTAATACAAATTTGTAATGAAGTTTCGGGGTTTTTTTTGTACTAGATAACAATGTAGGTCAGTTTTAGATGTTAGTGCACCTGTACATGTCTATCCATCGAGGACATTAGGATTTCACGCCTGAAAACAATGGCAGTCAGTATTAAGGATCTGATGTTGCGCTAGCCATTGGAAAAGCCACTGATAAAGTTGTAGGTTTTAGCTCGGATTTAATCATTGAAAGTACTGTTTTCAACTCTTTTTTATCTTAACCAGAAATTGACAAAAAGTTGTTGCAAAAATATCCTTGGGTTTTGCCAAAAGGGGTGAATCTGAAGGCAGTCAAAGTCTCTTGGATGACGGATGTTCAGGGATACAGTGGGTTAGCAGTCAGTTTTTTACCGAGCAGGAAACTGTTGTGTTGTTTCTGCTTCTTTTGAGAACTGTTGAATAGTTTTCACGTCTCGTATCATCCAGTGAGACAGAAAGAAGGCAAATATCTGAAATAATACAAAAATGAAACTAGAGGATTTCATGATTTGATCTTTCTGGGTTTCGGAATCGTTCGTTTTTGTGTCATTTTCTCATTGTTTTTATATTCACATTCCTCTCCAAATATGAAAATTTCAATGTGCATGTCACTGGACTTTGGCTGGCCCGGGGTAATAAACTTGAGGCAACAATTGAACCATTTCTCTCTGTCTCTCCTTACCTGCAAAAATAAAGACGCGAATACCAGAAGTCCAAGGAGAAGAATATTATCCATCATCCACAGAACAAAGGAATCGATGCAGCCGTGGATGTAAATCGTTGAAAAGATCTCGTATTTCTGGATTCAGAAATAAGGGTCAACGTGAAAACGCTAATTAGGGAATATATGGATAACTAAGCAAACTGTCTGCAATTTTTTGAGTGCTCGTCGCAGATACACTCGGGAGCTGATTTTGAATGGCTTACCGTTTTGGTTCTAACGTCCAAGCCGCACTGATAGTTCATGGCCATATCAATGCAACAGGAGAACGGGACACCACACGCCTCTCGTCCGGGTGAAGAGCAGTTAAAATACACGTTCATCTGCCAATCCGCGTAACTTGCTGCTCCGCAGCATCGAAACTGAAAAAAACGGAAGAGATTCAAAGTTTTGTCTGCCCTTCTTGAGGTAAAATAACGATTGTTATTTTACTTAAATACATTACAATTTATATGGGTAACTTGCCTCGGCCTGAATATAATCGACGGCATCTTGTAAGTCTGGGTCGTCACGGTAACGAACTACTGCTTTCTCAAAGAAACGGAGAGCAGAATCAACAACCGTTTCCTGCAGTAGCAATACGAGGATGCCTCCCACAAATTGCAGAATGATGAGAACAGCTAGTGAGGCACAGTGCTGTCAAGGTAAACATGGAATTACGGTGAACGAACAGCCTGAGGATTAAAGGGGGTTCTTAGATTGTGTCACGTCAAAACGTTTGTTGTTCAAACTTAATTTTAAAAAACTAGGTATGTAATTCATCGTTTCAAAATTTATATGTTGACCTTTTAGACAGTGAAAGTGTAAAAGCGTCGCCTTTTCTTACATGTTAAACAGGAAAGTGAAACACGCAGTGAGGAAGAGGCTATGCGGTGGAAGTTGCGTGTCTTTTAATCCTTCTGGTTTTCTTCGTCTTAAGGGTTTGCCATAAATGCGTATGTGCTCTGACTTTTAGTAACCTGCCTATTTTTCGTACCAGTGGAATTTTCAAACTTATTTGAACTCACGGCATACAGCAGACACAAATTCTGCCTCAGCGCGCCTACGCAACCAAAGCCCGAGACAAAAAAGAGAATACATCCACTAATGATGATGTACGTCGTAGGGTCTGTGTCTAACGTGGACAGGTCATCAAAACCGCCTTTAGTCACTTTAGCCCAGATGCCGACGGCCATCAAAGTGCTTCCGGTTAACTATTGGAGAAGGAACAACATTTTGATGCGACTGAACAGCATTAAACAAAGAGTGTAGTTTTTTTTAAATGTACTGAGATCATAATGTTATTCATCTATTTCAACAAAATTGTATTTCCTAGAGCCAAAATACCAATTTTTTAATGTGACAAATTTTCCATCAATGGATTGTTCACGTATCGTGTCCAATTTTGTTATTGGGAAAACCTTTCAAAAATGTCGGTTCTGCTAAAATCCAGAAAGTCCTCACACTTACCCAAACGAGGAAATTCAAAATGAACAGTAAATACTGTCTACAGATAACATCTCGCGTCTTACTTCCCTCCATTACCCGCAAGGCCAAAATATCCAGGTTTCAGACATCGGTGTCCCATGAACACATGTAGCAGTGAGTTCACAACAGCTTCTAAAATGCACCATGCTTTACATGTCGACAAATTCCATCTATAGAATGCGTTATAATTGAGCGGAGGCCCACAGGCAACAAGACATTATCCTGGGGTCAGCAACTGTATACAAAACGCCTAGCTACAGGGGCACCTGTAATTATGACGATCAATATTACTCACGCGGCAGCAGAGAGTTATGAATTATTCATGAACTACTAGAATACGGAGTGGGCACATTCTTGAATCAATAGTGGTCGTGGTTGGAAAGTGAAGACAACACGCCGCTAGCTCAAAACACAGGACGTAGGCGCATTATCAAATTTCAGATTTTTATGTTAGGACAAGTTCACAGTAACACGCATGACGTCTCAGATACCAACTTTCTCTACAATCACTTTTATTTACATTTGTCAATGTTATTAAAATGTAAACACGATCATTTTCAAATGAAAATGTAGGTCTGACTAAAATAAAAAAGAACTTTCTAATCCTGAAAGTTATGACTTTTTAGTGTTATATGAATTCCTCTCTTTTGTACAATATGTTAAATAAACAAATAGGCCAGATTTTTAACAAATAGACTTCAAAGATACCTGTTATCAACATTACCATAAGCTGCTGCAAATTTAAAGCATTTTAGAGCAAGAAATTTCACTGCTGAAATTAACGACAGAATAATCAAAACATTCTGCATTTCATTAAGTTATCAGGGCATAATATGTACAGTATGTTTCAAACATTAACATGTTCTAACATGTACTGTTGTGTGTTTGGTTTTTGTACAAAATTACACTTTATGCTTGTATTAAAGGTATTCTAAGGGTGAAGAGTTGGTCTTATTTTTTCATATTACACTAAACACTTCCAATTTTAACTTTGGGTACATATACGTTTTATCCACTGCAAAGGGGAACAAACCTGAAGCACCGGACCAACAGCATCTGAAATTCATCTGAGATTTCTTTTTCCCGAAAGGATCAGAAGCTGGCATTTACTTTTCCCCTGAGAAACAAACCATGAATAGAAACGTCAGGAATGAAATGTTCGTTCGTTCGTTGGGGTGTTTGTTGGTTTGTTTGTTCGTTGTGGTTTTGTTTTTCTTGGTGATTTGATAACGTTGTGTTTGTTCATTTCCTGTTTTTCTGTCTGCTGTCCTTTTTGTTGGTTTTTTCGGTCTTTTTGTAGCAGCAGCAGGAGAGCAACTCGATAGTAATTAAGTTTGCTTTTTTGCAATCCTGCAGGGGTGTTACAAGTGTTTTGTGTTTGAGTGGATATGGTGTTGTCGCTTGTGCTGTTGTTTGTAAGTTTGTCTGTTACTGTATTTTGTGTGGTTTTTGGGGTTTTTTGGTGTAGATTCTTAACTAGATATATATTTTTGAGCGTATATTTTGTATCTCTTACATTTGTAAATTGTTTGTGTTTTAATCCTGCAAACTAAATAAGTGAAATGAAATGTAGGCTTTTATGCTGTAATCAGAGATGACAGGATCCTTACACATGGTTCAATATGCAACAAAAATGAGCCTACAATCTTACCTAAAATTAACATCTGCGCCTACTTAGCTTTCAACATGTTGGTACAAGTTTAGTTACAGGCCTTTCTCTGTCAGAAGCTTCTGGAAGAAGACAATTTATATTTTCTGCCCTCTTTCTTTCCAGATGAGCCAGGAATTTGGTTATCCTGGCTTGTCTTTCTTGAGTGTACTGTTTGAGTTTTTCCTGCATGTTTGTTGATGTTTCCTGATTCTGCTCTCGTCTTGTTTCCAGCTCCCGCACTGCACAGGTCAGATCACACCTTTGCTGTCTCTCAGCCTGATCTTGTTTATTTGCTTCTCTTGCTGCCTAAAAGGTCAAAGGTCATCAGAGGGGACAGTAGCTACTCTGGAGATTTATGCAATTACATGTACTGTATTTGACAGGTGATGTTAGACATTATACATTCTGCATACTAAGAACATGTACTACCAGAAAAAACTGATTTGGATTAGGGAGGGGCTGTACATGGTTGCAATAATTATAAAACAATTTATTCAATATTATATGTGCATAATCAATGCTAATAATAAAGATGATTTCACTCACTGTAACTGAGGCATGATTTCTTTGATAATGAAGAACTGCTGAGTAGAAATGCCAAATGGTGAACTCTGGCCACAGTACATCAACAAATGACAGGACAGAATAGTTGCTCTGTGTCAAAATCGAGAAAAAAGTAACCAAAGTGTTGCTATATCTTCAAATGATTCACACGTCACTCGACAGTACTCCTGCCCTGTTTTGTCCACCCAAGTTGAGTTACATAACTATAAAGCTAAAAACTGATGGCATATATTAAGAACGTTTGTAAGAAACAATGAAGTTCACCATAATCAACTTTGCTTACCTGCCACAAGAGGAAATCACTGAGTCTGACTTCTCCTGAGGTCCTGACAAGTAGGTCTGGGTCAGGAGAGTGACTAGTGTAAAGACATCTCTCTAAAAGCTCTTCTGAAATGTCACTGACATGGAATGAAAGATGACATTGAAGACTCTGGATTCAAATTTGACATCAAGTCAAAGTTGACTCTAAGGTACGCAAGAGTCTATTAGACGCTGATGGGTCATGTGATTATAATGACTCAAGAAGGCTGAGTGAGATTCAGGTTTGCATTACTGAATGAAGGCAGTTCCTGTAACAAAGCTAAATTAAAATCATTCAAAGAACAGTTCTAGTTGTAAAACACATAACATCAAAATGTAGAACCTGTGAATATTTCAGTCAGCCCAAACAGTTTGATCTAGCCACAAATTTGCTCATTACTCCAAAATATTTGAGGTTTTTGAGATTTAAGAGCCTTTTCCAATTTCATAGGATCTTACCTTGGTCTCAGAAATCCTTCTTCCACTCCAACCGCCATTTCCTTCATTGCATTGGTTATTTCATTTCTTGATGTATAAGCTAAACACACATTTAATATGGCACTGTGGAAAATACAACAGAATTAAATAAGATAATCTAAACCTCCCATTTTCATTTGTTTTGAATTATTTAGTTTGCTGTACAAAGGTTTCAGTAACAACTCAAATCATTTAAGCACAACAAACCTACTTTGTGTTATTGCGTGAGAAGTACATAGCCTCTGCCACTGCCTCTTGCACATCTTTAGGTAGTAAATGAAGTTCTCCCAAGACTCGTATACAAACTCCATGTTTCATCAGTTGCTCTCTGGGTGAAGTGAACGAAAACACATCCAAGAGCAAGCAATGTAAATAACAACGCCTAAAATCTTAGACGTTATTAACACCAGACAGGTGTAAAAGCCGACACAAATCAATAATTTAGCAGTGATTTTTAAAAATAAATAAGTGTAAAGCATTCCAGCCTAACATTTCAAAAAATTAAAATCTCTAACTTTTCTTGAAGTAACCGTGCAAATTTCTGTCTTGCTAGTTCCATCAACCCATTCACTTCCTCCCTTGATCGTTTGAAATTCTCAGTACTGAAGGCATACACAGTAACCTCCTTAATATCCAAGTCCAGACACCACTGCAGCATCTGATGAAAATCAAAAAGGACGACAAATTTTTATGCACATTCAAAAGATGAGCTTCCCTTGCAAAGTCGTAGCTAAATAATGACAATAAAACAATGGATTTATGGCTAGGGACAGAATGGGCTCTATTCACATCAGCCATCTTGAATCGTAGTGATGTTAAATTTCATTTTGGGAACCAAAGAGAGAAAATAACGGCTATGAAATAATATTTTGAAACACATGTAGTTTAAAGCCAGTTTACATTTAGAGTAAGTTAAAAATATGTGATATATTACATCTACATATTTTTTAAGCAACATTTAAAAAACAGAAAGTGAGGCTTGGAACGCAAATTAAACTGGCACAACCCTTTATAATATTACATTAAATATGACAGATCTGGAGAACAAGATCAAAGATGGCTTCCAAGTGAATAAGGTTTGTTTAGTTCATTCCAACTAAAACCATAAGTTTACTGTAGATTTATTGTAGTTTGTACTTTTCACTGAGTTTAATGTTCACTTCTTTGCGGCCTTCAACAAAAACATCAAAACTTCCAATGACATGTGTAATTTTGGTTATGAGAGTCAAAGAATTAATTTTGGTTAAATTTTAGGATGGACGCCATGTTGTACTTACAGTGGCAGAATCAATTATTTTGAATTAGAATGACAAACTTGTTGAGGGTTTTAATAATGCATAAAATAATTATGTTAATCCTCCAATTTAAAGTTTACATGTACATAAGTTTCAAGAAAGTCCGAATACTTATTCTCTTAACACTAATCTTCACTGTCTACATTACCTCAGCCATTTTATCAAAACCTCTCCTATGTCCTTCAGCCTTCTCAACTGATGCCTTCTTGGCAAATCGTCTGTTGCCATCCATGATGAAAGCAATGTGTTTTGGAACTGGCCCTGTCTTCAACACCCTTGTGCAGAAACTCTGAAGCCATGTTTTCTGAACTCGGTATTTCTCCTCTGGAAACCATTCTGAATCAACTGTTGTTGTCATGGTTTCTGCTTTTGAGTAAGCACTGAGAAAAACCAAATGACAAAACAGATACCAATGAATACAGTAAATGGTACCTGCATGCACACCCAAATGTATGTACAAAAGAAATGATCTTATCAAACAAAAAGTGATAAAATGTCCAAGAGTCAAATTTAGCAATTTATTGAAGCATTTCTTTACAAATCACTTGAAAATTTTCAGCCGTCTCTTGGGTTTGTGCAGAGCCTAAGGTGTCAAATGGAACTCTTTCCTGCTACGGTCTCACCATCATCATCAAACCACGTAGGAATAAGTTTATTTAAGAACACAACTTCCATATGATCCAGTTCATTTTCACAATCATTGTTTCCGGGATTGGAATGTCAAACCCACAAATCAAATCAAACTTTTAAAAACTGCTTCAAACAAAGCATGGAAGAGTTCCATATACAGACACCACACCATAGTGACCTATCTGCTGTCAAAAAGCAAAAACATGTCCAGAAAAGTACAATTTATAAAAGGAAAGAAACAAGTCGTTTTCTCAGAATTTTCCGACCAGTCTCACAAAGGGTTTGTGCACAAGAAGTCCAGCGGCGTCCGTATATGGAACTCTTTTCTAAAGCATACAGTCCCTGAAGGATTCAAAACTGGTACTGGGAAATTTTGAAAAAAGAAACAAATTCCCTTGAGCTGTTTCGGACATGTCGGAGAGCAGAACGTAGGCCTCGGCCATGTCGGCCTAGGCCCAGTACTATGGCAGTAGTAGTACACATGTCGATACGCGATGACTGCGTCGTCGCGTACCATGCGAAACTAGGTTGGACAGCTCATACCTGCATACTACAACCGTTACCTCCAACCTTTTTATCTATCAAGCTTGTAATCTATGCTGAGCTGGATTCCACATCTTTTATCGAAAATGAATATAATTTCACACGCGAAAAACACTAAACATTTTACCTGTTCCCAACTCAACATTCCAGCCACCAGCTGCACAAGTATGATGCAACTATATTTTACATCCTCGACTGTTTCGTGTATCCTTGTACTTAATCATAAAACAGTTTCATTTCTACGAAGGGAACGAACATGTTGATGTCAAAGGTCAATTCGGAAATGGTATGAGGCGGAAGGATACAATTTCCCAAGCCAAGGTCATTGACCAATCTATTTGGAAAGAACTAATAAATGTCCACCTTAAGGTAATCGTATGTTAAGTAAATATTTATAATAATTCTTTTCCTATATAGATCCGCTAGTTTTGCTTCCATAGAATGTTTTTTTTCTTGTATGACTTCGTACTATTTATCGCGGAGGAGCCGAAGCACAGCTCGTGTCCATTGTAGCGCATCGGGTTCTGATGGCTCATATCTGCGGTTCTGGAATTCTACTAGAAATAACTGTGGTTTTTGGACATTTATAGCAGACGAACAAAGCAGAAATACTCATATCTGTGAATAGACTGCAATTTTCAGTTATGTCCGAAGGGGGAGGTGGCACTCGGAAGCCATCCCGGTTTGAATCGGGTAAGATTTTAGGCACTGTTTCAGCAGTATTTTGCCGCGTTTGTCACTACCGTTGTTTTGTTTTCCCCGTTGAAACATGGAATTGATTGAAAATTGTTCCTCCTTTTTTGCAGAATTATACTTCTTATTGGTTAAATTCCTCGCTGCTGGACCATGCAGAGCAACAGCAGAGGTAATTATTGTTCCTTTGAATTGGTTTGTAAGGTTGTATGTGATCCACCACTTAGACGTTTTCGTATTTTCTCATCCAGGTCCTGAAGAGAGAAGTCGAGCAGCACGGGGTGAGTACAGTGCTTGCCATGTTTACGTGTTTCAAAATATGCGCTTTTTCGCGCAACTTTTTGCCGATTATCATCGAATTTTCCGACAGATTAATTTTATTTTGAGTTTTAAATATGCAGATCGTTAGTTTATTAGTTGTTTTCCATATGTGTATCAATTTTTCTTTGTTATTTTTGAAAAATTCTCATTTTCAGCTATTTCCAACTCGATTGGATTGGCTGGGAAATGAACATCAAAAGAGCTTCGAAAACTTGGTAAGACACGCGTTAAAACTTTTTTTACCGTAGTCAAATTGAATTTTTACAAAAATAAATCTGAAAATTACAAAATATTTTATGATGATCCCAGTCAAGTTTACTTGTAAGTACCATTTATTTCAAGATGTTTGGAAATCAAATTTTTGCTTTTTCGGCCATAAAAAAGAGCAAAAACCCCCGAAAATATGCTGTTTTCAATGCCCAGCTTGCAGCCAAGATATTTGCATAATGGTAAATGACTTGTCATCCGCTGACGTCGCGTTTCATTGCTCGGCGCTTCAACCAATAAGAACGTAGCACGCTCGTGATAGCGTAATGCGGGTGAACAGGTCAAGTCTATTTATATCAAGTGAAATGATTGGACAGTGGATGCAGTCACCAACATCTATCATGAATAATTCATGTTATATGGCGCGCTGATATACTGTGTAATGTATGCACAAGAAGAGTGTGCATGTACATGTACATGTACACTACATGTACAGTACATGTACAGTTACACCTCGTATTGTACATGTACTATGTACATACATTTTACATGTACGTGTACTTCCGTCCTCGGTTGTGTACATTTACATACATGTGTAAAGGTGATAAATTCATATATTTAAAGAGAAAGGATTTGCCTTTTCTTCATAGCACCACAGTATGTAACTATGCATTTTCACCTTATTCAGTCTTTATTATCTTCAAAACGAGACATGTCAGGAACAATTAATACACAATTTAGAGAACAAATTTTGAACTGCATGTTGTTTTTACTCCATCTCGCGTATTTTTGATCAAAATGAAATATTTTACAAATTTAGGCGGTAGGCCTAGGCCTATAGCACTTTCACAGCCTCCCTTGGTGTTCGGAGGATTTTGTTTTTCGCGTTTTGTTTTCCCACGGCTAAAATGCTGCATGGATCACCAAGGAGACTAGTACGTTTCACTAGACCCATGGAGGAATAATATTCCTGCATGCTCCACCACAATACATCATTACATGTACAATGTAAAGAAGTCAGTAATGTTTTATAACATCTCTCCCACAGATTCTGATTGATTTAACTAAAGTGATGACTGATTAATTTGATTTCAAGTAAATACATGAGATACATCTACTGGAATAAGAAAATGGCGAAAAATTTTACTGCATTTTATCAAAACTAGGCCTACCTCTTTGTGAACTCAGTTGTGCACACTTCAGAATATACACACCACGCAGCGTGCAGCAGCATGCATTGGTACACAGTGAGAGTCATTTGATAGTTCTGTGGTTGGTACATCCTTACAGATGTACATGTAGTTCTTTTGGCCGTGGCAAGCAAAACAGTAAAAAATCACATTCCATGTGACCATTTCCTACCTCTGTGATGTACTAACTCTCAGCTAGTCAAGATACAGAATTTGTGGGTGATGAGGTGTTAAAAATAAAAAATAACATACTGTTACATTTTAATTAAATTGTCCTGAATGTTCAGTTGTTTAGTAATATTGGTAAATTTAAATTGTTATCTAGTTTTATCAGTGTTAATTGTTTTCTTCAACACAAGGCAAATTCCAACCAGCATATTAACAGTGACCATCTACTGCAAATATGTGAGCGAATTGGACCGCTTCTTGACAAGGATGTTAAGCCAAGTGTTTGTGGTGTCCGATCATTACTTGGCGGAGGTACACTTTCACTCCTTCGAACCTCACAAGGTAATATGAAAGTTTAGGATGTTTTATTCATTGTTTCAGTTTATGTCATCACTTGTTCATAATGTGTGCAAGAACAGAATGAGATGTCACTTGATATATTTGTAATGGCAAATATGGAAATTATAAGAAGTTAGAAAAGGCAACTTTTCTTGGTGAAATACCTTAAGACTCAAATTTAAGAGCTCTTAATTGGTGAATGATATTGAGTATATTATTTGCTCTTCTTTCTTGGTTTTATCAAAACCTTTTGTTTGTAGATGTTAAGCCAGCTCTATGGTCGCCGTCATTTTTCTCTGCTACAATTCATCGAAGGCCCCTCTTGCCTCCTGCCAAGCGCACCAAAAATGTTAACACGTGTAAGTTCTAGCTTCAAATCAATTTGTATAATATCCAAGGTTGATTAATACATCCTTTCGTTAAGTAAGATTTGAAGTTTTGCATGGTGGATGAAACATGAGAAATGGGTTTGCGGGTACACCATGCAATCAATCTGTTTTGGACGAGGTGTGTTCTTAAAAGAACGGGTGAGTATAAACTTGACGTTTCGGCCAGTGTGCTCTGGCCGTCCTCAGGAGAGTGTGCTGGACTGGAGTAGATAGCTGGTTATAAAGGCAATACAGGATTCGCAGGATTCTTTTGTTGTATTATTTCCCTTATCCCGTTAATACATTTTTTGCTTTGACTTGAGATCTTAATTCTTCCCTGGGAGGTGTTTTTGAACCCTTTTCAAAACACAATCGCAGGGAATCAAATGCAGTTATTGACATTTTGATAAACATGTAAATATGGAGGGGGAACCTCAAATGGAAGTATCCTAATAATTTATTTTCCTTTTCTTTTCTTTCTTACTTTTTTTGTGTGATAGTCCATGTGTTACAGGGCCGACTCAATACTGGTGTGGCGAGAAAGAATCAAGTGTTTCCCACATCACAATACAGTAAAACAACTGTTCACCTGCGAACACTTGGCCACCTGTCATCAGTGTACTGTGTTGCTTTTGATCGCAGAGGCACACGGATCTTTACAGTGAGTTTCAAATCTTTAGACTGCAATACAAAGTTTCAAATGCAAGAATGTGAGAAACGAAAAGGTTTTATAAAAAGTTGTTCCTGTCCATGTATAGACCTTTTTCCTGTGATGTCAAAATCGTGCTGGACCGCGATGTGCTGTGATGGTAATCTACTTATTCAAGATAAATTAGTCAAGCATGCTGCGTTCGCATGTGCGCTTGCACGTGGTTGAAGGTGCCCATAGGAATCTATGTGATCACTGTGGCCAAGGCAGTCCACAAATGATGGTATTGTTTACATTTAGTGCAATCCAGTCACGTGGGTTAAAAAGGTCTACAAGGCTGTAGAGTATTGAAGTTTGATATCATTTTGAACCAGGACGTGTAGTACAAATGAATGGAGTACGCACATTTGTGGATTCGTGCACTGCTCCTCGTGCTAATGCCTTTTACACTCATACATGTAATTGGGCACGTAATGTTTTCATTTTGGTGCTCTGTAACCTTGCCTGGAATTAATATGATGAGGATTTATGAATATGGATGAATATATGATGAATATGATGCTGTTTTCAGTAGATTGTACTTGGTTGTCTCTACAAACCTATCAGGGAGCAGATGACCATCTTGTCAAGATTTGGAGTGTCGTTGATGGTCGTCTACTTGGCACACTACGTGGCCATGCCTCGGAGATTGTTGATATGCATCTCAACTATGAGAATACCCTGACTGCAGCAGCAAGCATTGACAAGGTGATACGAGTATGGAACATGCAAACTTTGGCTCCAGTAGCTGTCTTGACAGGGCATACAGCTATGATAACATCACTAGAGGTAAACCAGAAGTGTTTAGATAAATAATTTGGTAGTTGTGTAATTTGACTTACATTTATATAAAGGCAAATGCATTTAATTCCTACCCTTCTAATGTGTTTTCTGTCTGGTTTGGTTAATTATGACTGCTAGCTCTCAGCTATGGAAGTATATAACAAGGTTCTTGAATGCTTAAAGCTTTGTCCTTTATTCAAGCCATTTCATCATTTTCCCAAATATGTTGCAAATTTGTAAACAGTTTTCACCTTATAATCGTGGCCACAACCGCTACATGGCAACTACAGGTTCTGATGGAACATTATGTATCTGGACATGGAATGCAAACTCTCAGGTGTTCAAGTAAGTTTAATGATGGGTGTGATGTCTAGCCATCGGGTTTTCAGCTGTTTATATGTTCTTGAGCTAGACAAGAATATATATGTAAGAATAGGTGTCTTATTCATTAAGCTCTGTGCCCTTTATTGAGCCGAGATTTTTCCTTGTGTGTCTTTCAAATTATGTAATTTCATTCCAAATATCCCAACTACACAAAATTTGGTGTAACTGCTTGATTCATGTTTGAATTGTTATTCCTGACTTCCATCAGCAACAGACCAATCCGATTCCAGGAAAGATCCAGAGCAGGAAGCCAAATGCTGTGTCTCTCATTCAGTCCAGGTTCGTTCAGACCTTTAATTGAACAGTTCTCACACTTTCAAGGATTCAGCCAATAAAAGTCAAAAGTTTTGATCCACAAGTTGCTAATATTTGGAATGTTCCTGTAAAGGGTACAGAATTATTGAAGAGAGGCTGTGAAACTTTTTCAGAGAAACTTTTAATCTTTGTTATTTATTTTTATATCAATTTTAGGGGGTGCATTCTTGGCAGCTGGTAGTTCCGATGCCTCAATTAGAGTGTACATGTTTGGTAGCAATGGACCTGAGAAACAATGTGAATTAGAGGCCCACACAGTAAGATTTTATTTTCTTTCGTGTCCTTCATCGAGACTGTAATACTTATGATTTCTTCAATATTTAAATGAAACCAAAGTTTATGTTTATAAAAGCTCAGCTCACAATTTACTGTATTAATGGTAAACAAACCAATAAGTATTTTCAAAGGTAGAATGGTGTGGATAATTTGTAAAGTATCCAACTTGCTTGAAATGGATGGTGTCTTTAGCCTTGACTTTTCACCTTTTCTGTGAAAGGATCGTGTGGATAGTATAGACTTTTGCCATTCCAGCGAACGATTTGTTAGCGGCAGTAAGGATGGAACAGCTCGGATTTGGCGATATGACAGACAAGAGTGGAGAAGTATCCTGCTGAACATGGATGTCCGTATACCTGGGTAAGTTCCTAAAAAACTGTTAGTTTACTCTAGTGAACCTGTTTCAACTAATTCACAGCCTCTGTAAGTGATAGCATAACTATTGTTTTGTGTTAATTATGCTACAGAGCCAAGACTCCCGGAATTGATGATTCCAATAAGATAATGAAGCACAGAGTGACAATGGTTGGCTGGGATCTTGAAGATAGGAGAGTTGTTACTGCAGTCAATGATCATTCCTTGAGAGTGTGGGATTCACGTACTGGTAAACTCCTCCAAGAACTCTACGTAAGTCAAACTTAATTTATATTTATTTCACTTCCCAAAGAATGAGATTTACCAGTCAATTAGGACTTTGTTTATGTATTGTGCTTGCAGTTTGATGATGAGGTTGGGCTGCTAGTATTGTGTGTCATTATAATAACCGTTTCATTTTTGTTGTATTATAAATTCATATTTCTTAAATTAAGCAATATCAACAAAATTAAATGAAAGGTTTAAGTTAATGTCATAACGAAATGATAGATTTTTTTCTGGATAAATTAATTTTGCTCTGTGCACAGTCTCACACAGATGAAGTGTTTGTGCTAGAAGGTCATCCAACAGATACAAGGATTTTCCTGAGTGCTGGACATGATGGTCTCATCATTCTGTGGGATCTGGATACCGGTTGCAAAATCTACAGCTACTACAATAACGTAAGCTCAATTCTGTTGGGCTGAAATTACCTTAAGTGTGCCACAATTCAATCAGCCAGGACCATGTAGAGAACTCTTTAGAGGCAGAGTGGGTTGGGGAGTTGGGTGTTACCTATTCACAAGAGATTCTTCATCAATTTGAAGGTCACCAAAACTTTCTTGATTTTTTTCCTTCCAGATTGAGGGGCAAGGTCACGGTGCTATGTTCGATTGCAAATTCTCTCCTGATGGCCAGCACATTGCTGCTACAGACTCACATGGACACCTGCTCATTCTTGGTTGGGGATCCAGTGAACGATACTCTAAGGTTTGTGCAAAATAATTGTTCAGTCTTTGGCTTTCTTCACATACATGTATTGCATGGTGTTGTTCATCATCCATGAATGTTATGCCAAATAATCTGTAAACCTTTTTTACTTTGGATTATTAAAGGCATCACACAGGAATGTATTCAAAACATCTACATTAATGTTGCCTGATTTGTATTTATGTTTCTCTCTCTATTCATCTCTGCAGGTGCCTTTTGAACAGTTCTTCCATACTGATTACCGCCCACTCATGCGAGATAATAACAACTATGTCTTAGATGAACAAACACAGCAAGCTCCTCACCTGATGCCCCCACCTTTCCTGGTAGACATGGATGGTAATCCTCATCCTATCCAATACCAGAAACTGGTACCTGGACGAGAGAATTGTACATCCAGTGCCTTGGTCCCTCAGATTGGTGTAGCTCCAAATGGTAAGTAATAGGCACACGCTAATCCCACTTCTGACACTACAAGTGTTTAATTTCAAAGTTCATATTGTAATAATAATAATTTATTCATTTATAAAGCGTAAATTTCATATAGATATGTTCAAATGCTCTTAACAATGAAGACATTAAGCGTGGAACAATGTATACATTTAAACATGGTTGAACCGATGGCATACAAGGGTGCCTCGGGCAGTTGCCAAATGACCCACATTCACCAACATCAGTAAAGGGGAGACAGTGAGAAGCAGTTACAGTTTTAGAGGCGGGAGGAAAACCCCAGAGGAATATTCTGGGTAAAACCCATGGAGTCAGGTAGGGACTGAAAACCCAATCCACATGTGGACCAGGCCTGGAATCGAACCCGGGACCACAGAGGTGGAAGGCGAGGAAAGAACTACCTTTGCCAATCTGACTCTCTTATTTACAGTCTTTCTTTTTTGTACACAAATCAGTACAAGTGATTTCTGCCAAATTTGACATGAATGCTTGTGACATTTTGTTGAATTTTAGGAGAAAATGAAGTCATCAGTCAGCCTGTGAGGGCACAGGGATCTTTTGCTCAGGAATCAGCTGCCTTGAATGAATCCCATCAAGCATCTAGCATTCTGGATGAAATGATTGAACAGATGCAACGAGAGCAAGATGAACAGCAGGGAATTTCTGCTGCTTCCGCTGCAATGCCTCCTCCTGCTGGTGCTCCAAGTGCCCGCCCAACCACACCAAGTAGAGGTAAATAATACACTGTCAACCAAACTGCTGTTATTTTGGAAAATTATTGCATCATGTAACCTGGACATTGTATTGCATCTCCTCTGAATTTATGTGATATATGGATACTTAGGTAGCCTTAATGGACCCCTTAGTCCCTCCGCTGTTTCCCCAAGAGGAGTGAGGCTTAGCGGTGAGATAGAAGGTGTACGCCAAGCTACTGGGAATGTTCCCATCAGCCAACAAGCTTCACAAGCTGATCTCCTAGCTTGGAGTGAAAGAGTTGTGGTTCCAGAACTTCCTCCATCCATCTTAAGGTAATATTATTTTCTGATAGGGACCAGGTGAAGCAAATGAGAAGAATCAGGGATTTAATGTTTTCATGTAAACAAATTTTTAAGCCTTCTCTGCAGTTTTTGTTTTCCAAGTGGTAAATTTTCATCTTTTTTTTTAATGGGAATGTGTAGAAGTTTGGAGAAAAGACGACAGTTGTTATTTGAAGAGGAACTAGCTCATTTCAAGGTGGAAAAGAAGAGGAAACCATCCGTTGCTTTCCTTCAAAGGGTAAGAAGGAGTCAAGACTTGCCTGAGATAAATGTGACATTCTCCCTCCTTATTTGGTATTATGATTTGCACAGTGTTGCTATGGTTTTGCAGAGCAGCAACACTTTTGTATTGCCAACATTATAAAGATACAGGTATGTTAATGAACTGAAGACTCACAACTGACTTACATCTGGTTGCCATGGCAGGAAGATTCAAGTGACTCACTGGATCGACTAAGGAAGAGAAAGAAAAACGCTCATGGGTATGGTACCCGTTCAAGCCGTGAGGCCCTTAGAAGGGAACGTAGGGAGCAACGAGAGAGAGAACAGAGGGAACAAGACCAGGAAGCGATGAACACAGATGATGAGGTAAGGCTGTGTCTGGAATAGGCTTCCAGAGTTGTCAGAGGGTTGTCAGAGGGTTGTTGAGTTGTCTGTACATCTCCGCATATTTCCAATGGAGTGAAGATCTAGTCCTAGCTCTAGACAACAGGTTTGGATGCAACCTAAGACTGCTAGCAAACTTACACTACTGTGCTGGTTTGAAAGTAGAATATTTTTATCCCTGTTAATTTAATCAGTCCTTAGCCGTAATTCCTTTCACATCAATGAAGGAAGTCCATAAAATGATTGCCCCAAGTATACCAGAATCTTAGGAAAAATTTTGATCCATTTGGGGGCTCTTAATTTAATCAACTAGAAGCCAGCAGAGGGGCAAGAAGCTCTAATGCCAACCTTAATTCCACCTTCTCTTTCTCTTTACACCTGTGATTATTCATTTATCTTCATCTCCAGGGAGAAGATACCTTAGTGATGAGTGGTGGAGAGACGACTGAAGATGAAGTGGAATGGAACAGCAGCAGCGATGGAGGAAGGTCGGTTCTTAACATGAATGTGTTCCTCTTTATTGCGTTAATGGGCAAACATTTATGCCTGATAACACGAGACAGAGTTTTTAAGTCGAACCATGTCCTCCAATTAACACAAGACTGTATGTGAAGTGAATCCAAATGCTTGTAAAGGTTTACATTAAATGCCCCAATTGTCCAAATTTTTAGTGAAACAAGCGAGTATTCAGATTGGACGGCTGATGTTGGAATTAATCTAGAGCCACCCAAGAGAAGTCAGAGACAGATTAATCGTCGAAGATTTGATAGTGGTTCCGATGAGGAAGAAGAACCTGGAACATCATCACAAGCAAAAACTAAGAGGAAAGAGTCCAAACCAAGGAAGAAAAAGGTTGGTTGATGAAAGTGACTTGCTTGTTAAATCTAATTCGTCCTCTTTTGAATGATGACACTGTGTTCTTGGAAGACTTGAAGAAGTGGAAAGAATTGCATACAATGATTGAACTAAAAGGGAAGATACAGGTTCAAACTCTCAATCTTACCACTAATATTGCTTCATCGTTATTTCTGTATACTTTACCCTCACTGCGGCTCTTGGGAATGAAACTGAGGGAATTGAAATAAAATTCAACCAAAGAACCACTCTCTCAAGCTTTCTGTCTCCATAAAATTCATGTTGTTTCTCCAGCCCCCAGCAACTGTCATCGAGGATCGAGAGCGTATTGAAGAACTCCCTGAGGAAATGAAACCACCTCGCTGGATTACAGACTCCACCCCACGAAGATGCCCTTACATTCCTCAGATGGGTGATGAAGTGGTTTACTTACGCCAGGGTCATGAATGTTATTATGAGGCAGTTAAAAGGTTGAACCTCTACAAGATCGACCTGAAGAAACAGCCATGGTATAACAGAAAGTTGAGGGTAAGTATGTTTCATTATTACTTAGAGCAACCTCGGCTTTTATATGTGATTGAGTGTGCTATTTTGTCTTTTACTCACTTCAGCTTGTTATCTGTTTAGGTTTTGTATGTTGTACTGTAGTTGTTTTTGCAATCATTTGCTCTTTGTTTTGCCATTTTTCCGTCTAAGTTATAACATTCTACCAGATGTATTTCATCATATTTTTCTTTCAACAGGAGCAAGAACTGGTCAAAGTTGTGGGTATTAAGTACCAAGTTGGACCTCCAACTCTGTGCGGCCTCAAGCTTGCCTTCATTGATCCTGAAACACGCAAACAGACAGGATCACATTTCTCCATCAAGTAAGTTGTAAGATGTGTTATTTTTAGTTATATCTGAAAAGAGGGAAGTGTTAACTTAAATTTGACAGCCTTCAACCTATGCTCATCCTTCAAATATTTCAGGTACCATGACATGTCAGACGTCATTGACTTCTTAGTTCTACGCCAGCATTATGACAACTCAATAGCGCAGAACTGGAAAGCAGGGGACCGGTTTCGATCCATGATAGATGATGCATGGTGGCTGGGTACCATTGTTGATCAGCAGCCCTTCCAAGTTGATTGTCCCGACAGCTTTTTCCAGTGTTACAATGTTGCGTAAGTATTCTTTAGATAATTTCATATCTATCATTCTTTGGTTGCCATTGAAACAATTTGAATCCTAAAACACCCCCCAAATTTTTGTCTTTTTCACAGAAGCAGCCATACATGTCAAAATACTTTTTTGTTCACTCTAATTTTTTAAATCCAGATGGGACAATGGAGAGACAGAAAAGATGAGCCCTTGGGATCTGGAACCGATTGATGAAGACAGTAAGTCCTATGACTTTTTCCAACAAAAGTGCACTGTCTTCAAAGTTGTTTGAATTATCAAACCCTACACTTCCAATGGCATGTTTTTATGTTGCAAGAACGTAACATCGTTTTTTGCAGTCATTGCAAAAATTTATTGATTTATTATTTGTAGTTTCTTATGAACTTGTTTATGCCGATAGAACTTTGTTGTTAATTTCGTAGATTTGCCAGATGTAACAGGTGGTAGTGTTCCTGTCACTCAAGATGAACGCATGCAAGCCTTGTACACTCCTGACCCTGCTGAGTGGAGTGATCGTGACCCAACAGTTGAATGTGAACGTATCATTGCCTGTATTGATCAGGTCATGGGATTGCGGATAGCTCGGCCATTCAATGACACCGTGGATTTGAATGTCTATCCTATCTATGCTCACGTAGTGCCATATCCCACAGACTTAGCCAAGATCAAGACCCGTTTAGAGCTGCGATTTTATCGGCGGCTATCAGCTTTGATGTGGGAAGTGAGATTGATGGAACAAAATGCAGTACTCTTCAACGAGAAGGACAGTAAGATTGTTAAATATGCTGAGCTCATTACTAAACTCCTTCTTGATGTTATCAGGTAGGATATCCTTCTGCAATTTTGTTGTTAAGTCAACTTTCAAGTGATACTTTACTAATATGAGTCAACACTGGTGTCAACAACTCTAATTAATGTGCTTTTTTGGATGACGGCTCTGTAGACAATGAAATTCATTAATTCATACTCCTGATTGTGAGACTTCACTTCAGTTACTATGATCTATTTATTGGTTCTTCCAGGAATCCTAAATGCACTGATGCACTGGCTGTATATAGCAAACTTACAGGCTCCATGGATGCAGATGAGCTAGTTAAGATAGAAACTTCCTCATCTGGTGAAGACGATGACCGGCCATCAACTAGCAGAAAGAGATCTGCTGTGAGTCAAATGCTCAGAACCACAATCAGATTAATGTTCCTCTCTGTTGGAATTTCAAATTGAAACCCCAATGCAGGCAGATTTCATTTTAATTTCACATTCCAAAATGAATTTGAATGTCTGTTTATGGCTTGTTACTTTTAATGATTCCCCATCAAGTAATTTACTATTATTTCAGAACAACACACCAAAATGTACTGAAATGTTCAAATTTTTAGGAGGAGTATGGTTTGCCACCAGCTAAGAGAGTTCGTAGCCATTCCTGTTACAACACCAAAGCCTGGATCGGTCAGTGCAAAGAACTCATGCAAATGCTGTGGAACTGCCAAGACTCAGAACCATTCAGATATCCTGTTGATGAACTTAGATATCCTGTAAGTACTTATCATCACACTGAAGCCCTACCCCTCTATGGGACCTCAAATATGAACCTAATTGTAATGCTTGTCATTAATACTGCCATTTCCGTCCTGTGCATTTGAAGCATGTTTTTCACACAGCGACAAATACATGGACCTGTAGTAGTACAGTAAGTAGCTGCTATGGTGTTTTCGAAGTCTATGATGCCTTGAAGAGCTTCAGGAAAAAGAAAATGCCACTTGAGGTCATTGGTAATACTGTTTTATTAAAATAAAGTTATGTTGTAGTTGAAGATTCATGAAAACAACTCGTCTAGATAAAATTTCTGGCTGATAAAAAGCATTATAAGAGTTAAAATGAAATGCAGTCTTCATTTCTTATATTCTTTTTTGTTGCATTGCAAGGATTATCGAACAATCATCGACACACCAATGGATCTGAATGTTGTCCGTGAGCAGCTTGATGAGATGATCTATCAAGACCCCATGGAGTTCTGTAAAGATGTCCGACTTATCTTCACCAATTCCAAAAGTTACACACCAAACAAGAAATCGAAAGTAAGTAACTTCCTTTTCATTGCTTCAAATCTTATAAACACAATTGTAAAGTGAGTGTTCATCCTGTCAGTGTCACAGCTGTATCAGCTGCCATTCTCATTTCCTTGTTGGTGTTTTGAAGTTGGCAGTTTATTATGTAACTGTAATCATGCTAAATCCAAATTCTTTTGTTTCAATTTGCTTTCTTTCTAGATCTACTCCATGACACTGCGGTTATCAGCTCTTTTTGAGGAGCATTTCCGACCAATTCTCAGTGACTATAAAGCAGCATTGAAATATGAGAAGCAAGTCCGATCTGGGCTCAAAAGGTACCTTGTCTGAAATGCAAGACTTTTTCCCCAATCCTGTGATTAGTAGAATGATTCCAAGACTGACAATAAACAATCTCAAACTTGTTAACAGAAAACGGAATCTCGCCAACTTTGAGGATGCATCCTCATCTGGCAAAGCCAAGAGCACCTCAGTAGATGCATCTTCTCATAGTGAAGATGAGGACAGGGCAGGCCCCTCATCAAGGGCTGGGTCATCAAGGGCAGGATCATCATCAAGGTCAGGACCATCCCGTCCAAGTTCATCGAGAAATAGCATCAGGGATATGGCATCGTCAAGTAACAGACCAAGTACTTCAAGGCAGGCATGCTTCTCAAAAACCAAAGAGTCCAACCAGATCAGTACAAGAAGTGCCAAGAACATTCCTACCAACAGTAAAAATTCAGGTAAAAAAGAAGCCCAAGCTGAAGTCCTAGTTATTGTTTTAAAATAATGTGCCTCATTTTGTTTATCATGTCCAACATGCATTTCTTGAACCCCAATCTCTGGAAAATGTTTCAGATTTTTTCCGTGAGTTTCCTTTTTGATATTTTGTAGGGAAATCAACATTTTCAAAGACAATAGCAGAGAGAGTCAAGCGGCAGACGGCATCTCGAACGTTAAGACAAATTGATGAAAAGGACAGTAAGAGTGAAAGTGAAGAGGATAATGAGGAGGAGGATGAAGACACAGAAGTAGAGCAGGAGGAAGAGCAAGATGATAAAGAAGATGAAGAGGACAATGAAGAGGAAGATATCAGTTGCTCGAGATCAAGGAGAAATGGACTCAGGAGAAGAGTTAGCACAAGAATAAAAGGTAAACTGCAAAGTTCACCGAGAGTTAAGAAGTATTTTGTCTAATAATACTGACTGAAAAAAAAAAAATTTGGTTTGGGGTGTAGTTTAGAAGCTTTTTGTAATACATGTGGCTCAGAATTGAAAAAGGGCTTGGGAAAAAATAACAGATTCATAGGTTAAATTTGATAACTTGTACTTGCTTTTTATCATTTGTTAATCATCAGTGATTGTTTTTCTAATTTTGTCACTTTGTAATGTGGAGTTTCTCAACAATTTGGACTCTGTGTTTGAGTGAGCACTAGATGATTTAATATTTGAGGGATAATATGTCTTCTCAGAAGCCAAAGTAGTGTTACAGACTAAATTGTAAAGGACGGATGTCTCTGATTTTTAATTCGAGCTGTCCAAGCCTCAGTAGGTCATCATTAAAAACCTTGAATCATTTTATAAACTTTATTTTTTTCAGCTTCCAAATCTAAACTCAGCAATGGTCATACCAAGAGGTATGCAACAAGGCAAAATACTGTCATAAGTAATAAAGATGAAGAGGAGGATGATGACGAAGAGAATTCAGACAGTGAAGGAAGTGAAAATGATTCCAACACAGAGAGCAACTCGCCATCAGGTTCTGAATCAGAGCTTGACTCGGACAACAGCTCTGAGGAGCCTTCGCGAGATAGTGACACTGAAAGCTACATGTCAGAAGACAATGAGAATCATCGCACACGTTCAAATAGGTCTCAAACTCGGTCAACCTCCAAGAGGAAAAGTAGGACTGTTAACCAGGATCCAACCAGGAGATCGCAGCGAACTTTGGTCAGGTCTAGAAGGAGGCTGGACTCCAGTGATATTGAATCAGACTTTGTGTCATCTGCACGCAAGCCTAAGACACGAAACCAGGGTAAACAGACAGTGATATATCGTGACCTTGACGAGGAAAGTGAGAATCAGTCCTATGACAGTGAAGATATGAATGGGGTTGAGGATGTAGTGACAACTGTCTCAAGTCGGGGCAGGGTACGACGAATGACACAGAGGGCACGTGCAAGCATATTGGGAGAATAGCACCTCCCTTACCTTGACGTCAGTGAGTTACAGGGTTAAGACAGGCAATGATTATGTAACTTGAGGGACTTGTAAGATGAAGAGAAAGACCTTTCTTTGCTTCTTTTTCTCTATATTTGGACAATTTGCTGTAATTTGCCCAAGTGTTCAGAATTGACCAGTGTTTGTTTTTGAAGTCAAAATGTCAATTTTTTTCTAGCTCTGCTCCAAGTACACACTGGAAAAACTTCAATGTTACCAGATGCATGTTTTTTTTTAAAGATTAATTTCACCCTAAATCAAACACTGTTCACGTCTTATGCTGTGGTTTTTCTTTCTCTGACTGTTCTTTTATTTTTGAATTTGATTGATCTTTGAACTCTGTGTCCCTATCCAAGATGTTGCTTTGAGTCACCAGCTTCTAAGCTGGCAGACTTGATTGTCTTTGTTTTCTTTCATTTGTCGGTTTGTTTTTTGTTTGAAGGACATTGGAGAAGGTGCTTAGAAATAATAAGAGTAAAAGTAATCTAGATGATTTTCAATTGGATTGTAAAGTGCTATGTTTATTAATTGAGATGACATAAATTGATAGACATGTACATGTAACTGGGTTCGATGTCGTCAGCAGGAGATCCGTCTTTCTCATATTTTGGCACCAATGCACCATTTTTAGTTGAGCCAACTGATACTTTCCCACTACCCAGGTCTGTTGAGTATTTTCTAGTACCATTTTTCGAAGTTTTTGCACTACTTTTAACCTGATTATCTTCAAATGTTTATTCTTTTCTTTATAAATGATATCCTTATCTGTTGGAAATAAACGAGCATCGGTATAAGTTTTGCATCAGTGAAGTAAGATGACGGCTCTTCAAGATCAGGAATAACATCCTTCTGTCAGTCTTAGTTCTACATCAAACACATGTATGGACCTTTACAAACGTCTTGTTGCAAGTGCTTCTCCATGCTACAGACAATCTGGTATCTGCTCTGCTATCAATGTGTCATCGAATGTTTGCTATAGTTACTTAACACTCCAGGTGGTCATTGCCGATTCCTTTGAGACGTTGTGACGTTCTATTCCAGTACACCACTGCAGAGGAAAGCAGGGGAATTCATAATTGAAATGCCGGATTTGTTAATGTGGTTTTAGCGGCATATGAAGACAACACACACAGTAATGCGTGTTGGTTTGCATAGAAGTCTCATTTAAAATCTTGGGGCATTTTGCTTGTGCTTTTTCCCAGTCATCCACGCATGGCGATTAGTTTTATACCCATACAGTTATTTGTACTTTTGTACGTTGATTGTAATTTGTATGATCTTATGAGAAGGAACGGATTTAAATAAATGTTTACACGTTCACAGAATTACCCTTTTATCACTTCAACCGTTGTTCTCAGGCTGTGCATATTCGATCTGATAAACTTGATTTACTCTCGTTGGAATGACTTGGTGTAAAGTCGTATATACATTTTTTCCCGAAATTCATCTGAACGTTAAACTAACTTCTGCTTTTTGTCTGTCTCATTTGTGATGAAATGTTCGTTGGCATTTATGCTGAGTTAATCCACAATAGCATCCGACATTTGACATGAAGTTGGGGAGCCATTGATACATAGGTTGTGAATTACGTTTCTAGTTTACATGTACATGTACCTAAAAAGGTATCCATGCACATGTACACTATCAATGAGGGGGATCCTGATGAGTTTTCGGAGGAGAAGGGAGTGAGTCTTTCGTCTTTTCATCAGCAAAACACATGTAGTTTTATCGTCTCTGTCAAATAGAACACCAGAGGCAATTCAGATGTTTAGTTCAGAGGCAATTCAACTCCATGGCCCTCTGATGACCGGTCATTTCAAACCCCTGCATTTTCGCCCACAGTCGACACATACTACTGTCTTTTGTCGGCTGCTTATCAGAGCAGCGGAACCCCGAGTGTAGTCGATTGTCCCCTCTGTAATGAACCATCCTCATCTCAGTCTGAGGTGACAATGTGATGGTATCACCACCCAGTTTCACACCATGAATTTTGAAAAAGTGGACATTAATGGGTCTAACGACAGCCTTGTCTCGACCTGTATTGACTGGCGTCGGCTTTCGGCTCCGGAACTGATTCCGCTCGAAGACACTCTCGTGATGATGCTGCGTCTGATTGGAGATCCTCGTTTGGTTCCATCCTCGACAGAAAAACCAATTCTGAACCCTTAGTGATCCAATGGACTTCATGAATTCGTTATACTTTCGCAGGATATCAGTAATTAAGGGCACAGATGGATCCATGGGTTGTAAGAACTCATCTACGTCAATTTTGATCATCCAGTCAGCCCAGTGGCGATTCCGCCATAAACAATCATTCTCGTGGGCTATTTGAACTTCCAGATATGTCTTACCGGGCGAGTAGGCGTGAGCCCATGGGATGATGGTGAGAAATCCACTGTCAACGTATTGACGAACGGTCTGGTGAAGGGTAGAAGTATTGGAGTTGTCATATATGTAGACATGTTCAACCCCTAGGTACCGGTGATAATCCAACCATTTAGGCACAGCAACGTCCATGTCTTTCAGCATCGTACACATGGAGAGAAATCGCTTCTTTCCCTCACGCGGTTGCGAATGACACACAGTTATGTTCTCGTACGCTAAACTGGTGTTGGAGGCTCGTCTGAGCGCAAGGGTTAACTTCTGCATCCCGTACAGAGGTTCAGGCACTGGGCAAGTTAAAACAAAGACGTACTGGGCTCTAGCCCCAAATCTTTGGTAGTCTTTGAGGATGGGGTCGGCAACTCGAATCAACACCCTTCCCTTGGGTCCACGAAACTCGCAGAAGAATGAGTCCTCGTGCCAATTTTCGAACCAAAACCGAACTCCTACAGCCACCACTTCGTGACTGATTGGATCCGCGAAGACGGAATGGATGATGGGCATGCTAGACTTCTCGAGTTTTAACTCCAGGTAACAGCTTGGATCATAAAGTCGTGGACTAGAGTCGCTACCATTTCTCTCTTTCCTCCATAAGTTCCTTGTCTCCGTCTGAATTGTATAGTAGAAAACAGCAAACATTTGAAAGATCAGAATCATAGAGGAAAACATTTCAAGTGATCGTCTGAATGAATGAGTTGGCATAATGGCATTGTTCAGTTTTCAGGCCACACACTTGACTTGAGGCCTGATTTACAGCCGATATCTTCCAAAGGATATTACTTCGTTGTTGAGTGTCCCTTTTCCGTCACAGAGAGTCAAGGAGAACATCGAAGACTGGAATGTATGGCCTATCAGTTTATTCCCAAGAGGATATCTCAACTGCTCTGCGTCAATGATTCCTTTCGGTTGTAGAAATGAATATTCTACGAGAATATCGACAGATTCGTATCTGTTGCCGTATACTTTAGGTCATAATTTTATGACCATGAGTGTTTATCCTATTTGTACACAGGTCAAATAGCAGGGTATCTAGACATTAGCACAAGACGACATTGTATGTTAGACAGTCTATAAGAGAGTCATACACAGCCTGCAAGACAGTTTTGGATCACCTCATATTAATGAACACGCCTGAGAGTCATGACTGACCACACTGTGAGTGAAACGTAAGTCAACAGGCGTAATAATTTAAACTAACAAAGACACATTTGCTTTCTCCTAAGGTAAATCAACATTAGCATATAAATAGAGTCAAGTTGTCAAACAGATTTGAAGCCTTTTGTTGACCGGCAATCACGGGTGTGTAAAATCCCAGAAATAGACATTTTTTCTTCTACTTCTAACCATCATGGGCAACGAACAAATGGATCCTCATGTAACAATTAAACATGGATAAAACAAGAGTACCCAAGAATCTCAGATGTTAAAGTCTATGGTGCTAACACCCCCTGGAATTGGTTTTGCGTGTAGGTCTGTGCTAAAGTGGTCCATTTCTGTGTCGCTCGCCGGTTGAATTAAAAAAAAATTACATTATTATTTTCCAGCCTTTTGTTTCATTACGAGGTGTTTGTGTCTTAGCTTTGTGTCATAAAAATAACTTTGAACCTCACCCCCATCAAACGAAACTTTTGAGCTCTTCTTTAATCATGATAAATAGCGGCATCTGTTGGCCATTCATTGTCATTTCGTTTTCCGTATCTTTTTGTTCGACTAGGACCGAACCAAGATCACCGAGTTTTCCTTTTATGCGATCAAATACAGCTTCACAAATGACAGCCCATTACCAAAATAATTCACATCGAAATGGTATTGCAGCGCCCCGGTGCACTAAGTGCAAACACTGCCCCCTTGCGACAAAGTCAAACTGATCGTGCCACTGCGCTGTTCGCCGTACGTGCCCAAGGTGCCGCAATAAAACCTTGCCCAATCTACGCAATGATTGTAGCCAGCTAGCCACCCAGCATACACCTGCTCATACAGCCAATCGCTCTTCACTTCGCAGTTCAGATAGTTCACAATTGCAGTGTTTCTTGCACTGTAAAGCTGTGAGCCTCGTTGCTAACACCCTGTCTTTTCTGTGCCACCGGTGCACGAGTACCGCTTCCCAACCTGGTACCTAGAAGGCAAGACTAGCTCTGTAATAACTTATAGGGAGGGAACAGCGTGATGCAAATCTATTGGAGGAGAAGCAAGCGGCAAGTAGACTCCAAACAGGATTAATGTATAATTGATATGACTTAAGAGCATGGTGACAAGCACTCAGTGACCATTGGATTTTGAAAGGTAAAAAAAAAATTGTATCGTGTATCGGTTCAGCGTTTCGGTGGGTTAGATCAGTAGCTGAACTTTACCTTGGCTACCAGAAAGTGAGATAACAGCTACGCACTATCGGAAAAAGCTGCATAAAAGTGATTCCAAATCCTCGTCTAGTTGGCCCTCTACTACAGAGGAATTCTTCAACATTACTTCAAGTGTAAAAAACATTTTATAGGAGAAAGTAAGCTGAATATTTGAACTATCCTGTGAATTGTTTGCTGCAGCTGTATTCCGCTGACGAACTTTTCAAGATCAATCTTTTTTCGGGCTACAAGACAAAATGGCTTCCCTGACAACGGCGTTGCCAAACGTTACCGGAAATTACACTGATGATTACCATTCACAAACTGTGGACGTCTATGAAATTGTTTCTATGGTATTCTTGATTTCTTTCGGTATGTTGGGTGTAATTGGTAACGGGATACTGGTATGTATTGTCCTTCTGAACCCTGATATGCGATCTGTTCCGAACATTCTCATCGCAAGCCTTGGTCTTGGTGACTTCTTTGTGGTAATTACTTCAGTACCTTTCAACTTAGTGTCTTACCTATACAACTCGTATCCGTTCAACTCTGCCGTCTGCAAGTTTTCTAGTGCCGTGCCTATCGTGTCTCACGGTGTGTCGGTCTTCACGCTTTCGGCGTTAAGCTACGATCGCTACATGGCTATCGTGCGACCCATGCAACGGCGACAATCTAACGCAGTGCGTCGAACCTACGCTGTGGCCATTTCAATCTGGGTAACATCTATCTTACTAGGCATTCCAACAACCATCCTTGCAAAGAGAGACCTTATTTACCCGAGTGGTGTCGAAGTAGCCATATGCAAAACTCTGCCTGTAAACATAACAGAGGAATACGGAGCGATTCCAACCGTCACGGCCAAGGTTCATGAGGCAGTAAGATGTTTAATCATGTTCGTTATACCTCTAGCTATCATCAGCATGTACTATATACTGATAGCCAAGCAACTCGCCCAGAGTTCTCGGACAATTCCTTGCGAAAACCACGGAGATTCCAGACAGCTTCGAGCCCGCAGACGACTCGCCCGAACAGTTCTGGTTCTGGTCGTGATATTTGCCATATGCTGGATACCTCACTTTATGTACAGGTGAGTCTTTTATTTGCCATTTAATAAGAAATGTTTTTATAATACTTACAACCTACGACGTAGATTATCGACTCTGCATCGTTTTAAATCACTACTAATTTAATTGATAAAAATTGAAATTTCGATCATAACTTGTTTGGTCACTGCCAAAGTCAAAGGTGAGAAATACGTGTTTGTTGAGTCCCCCGGGTGTTTTCGTTAAATAAATGGATAAAGTAACATTATTTCACTTTAGACTGAATATGGGCCTACTGTTTGGAGTTTTGTTTACATGCCTAGATACCAAAGAAAGTCTGTCTAATGCTTGTTTCTTAGATAAGAACTCATTAATAGAAAATTTGTGGAGGATATGGCAACAAACTGAAATATTCTTCTGGAGCACAAGCATACATGTACAGTTCAGAGTGTGTTGTCGTATATATACTTAACTTGTTTTCATCCAATTTCAGTTAAATTACCACTATATTGCTATTCTCTGGCTTATCCATGTCAAAAATAGAATGCAATTTCAAAATTATTTTACAGATTACGTAAACAATAAATCAGCGTTAACCGTGCACATACGTCATCAGTTAAAGGTGAAACTTTAGACCGTTTTAGACCGTTCATGCCCGTTTTCATCTGTCCCCATTATTCGTAAGATGACGTCTCGGAATTTCTTTCTCCCATTGTAGCTGTGATCTAGCTACTGTCCCTGAGGCCGAAATTCTTGTTCAATTAAGATGTCACCTGTTTTCTGTTACCTTCACAAGCAAATGCAATAAATCCCATTCAGATAATCTCGTTCGTGGGGTTGGACTCCATGGTTACGACTGCCTTTTTTATTTCTTTAATTTTGATTGAATATGCATTTAGAAAAAGATACGCTAGAATATATAGCATCAGAAAACATGCTACATGTTTCGTCCCCTGTCTTCCTCTCTGATCGAGATGTTTCCTGCCTCGTTTTGAAGTCACAACACCCTACCTTCTTCATAATGTCTCAATGCCGTCACACCTCTTGTTTGCCCGTATGTTATTGTATTTACCTTTTCCATCTCTTATTTCGTTCTTACGTCTACCAAGCGTTTGCAACACACTGCATCACAACCCAATTCTCGCCCGGCCAGTGGCTCGTTCCCTGCGGGACTGTAGTCTCTTGGTAGGGTCGCGGCAGCGTTCATGGCTTGTTTTCGCAATCAGGTCAAAAAACGGGTTTCTCAGTTGAAGCAGAACAAATGTGCTTCCCGAGTCTGGTGGACCCGAGTACATATTGCTGAGATGCTCAAACTAGTTTGATGTATTCGCTACGGGTCGCGATTTGAGAAGCGCCGATGTCTTCGTAAAAACGGTAAGAGCAACCATATGGGAGTTCTGTAAGGGTGTTTGCACTAAAATGTTTCGTTCGGTTTAGGGATGGATTTTGGTGGCAGACCGTGTTTCAGCAGCTGTACAAGCTAAAACATTACCAACAGCGTGTTAAAAGTGTATATTATGTGGAACTGATCGTGATTTGCAGTTGTGCATACATCCTGCTGGCTGTTTGCTCGGCTGGAAAATCTTTAAGTGTTCTGCACTGTCTAAAACGCTCAACGAACATGTACATGTACTGCAAAATGACTCACTTAGCTTTATAGTTGATGTGATGGGCTGAAGACTCTACTTCAGTATATATATATATATGTTTGAGGTTTCCTGTAGGCATAGATGAGGAGCCCGAGAACCGATATAAACCTTCACTTTGTCGATCCGTTAGACTGCACTTCGTCGACTGCACTATGGCAGAACGTCCACTCAGGTATTTTCCACACAACTTATGCAAATAGTTGGCTCATGATCACGCCCTTTCGCCAGGCAGTGTAGGTCCTGTACTTCTTGACTCCGCCTGTATTTGCGTCCCTCTCGATCGGTGCAGCTTGTTTTATTGCATTGAAAATAAACTTATTTTCAAATGACGTTCGATGATTATATGACACAGGTTTCAGTGGAACTGTATTAAATTTGAAAGATTTATTTTTGAAGTCATGAAATTTCTCGCCGACGAAATTTGAGACTTCGAGCCGTGCAGCTCTTTCCATGCCACGCGAAAGAACTTAAATACCCAGAACAAGAAGTAATGTGATTGATCCTTTTTATTCCAAACTATCTGTCACAACCCTTAATAGTCCCCTATCCTCGAGAACCACTTTGCACCTATGCTAATTCTCAGTACAAATCACCGTCCGTTGCCACGCGCCAAGGCGCAAAGTTCGCTTGGAAGATGACACTCAGATTGATCAGAAAATAACTCAAATTTCCGATAACACAGCGAAGTGGTCAGCATTACTCATCAGCGTGTCTAAGGCAGAACGTTCACCCGCGTAGCCTGCCTCTAGTGGGCTATTGAACATTATACATTCCACGGATGGTTAGACTAGCATTTCGTGTCGATGGAGGCACTCTAGCGTGAAATTAATCTCTTGAAGTTCAGTTAGGTGGGATTTGACTGTCCACGGAGATTTTCCCTTGGGAAGTTTCCGTAAGTGTCGATTGAACTTTCTTTACTATATTAAGCGTCTAAGTAATTACACATTATCGTTGTCATTACCTTATCGCGCGGAACTTTTCATCATAATAAGAGTGCAGTAGTTTTCGTCGGACCTGTATTTTTATCAGAAACGTATCTTTTTGTCACCAGCATCGTTTGAATTGCCGTATAGTCGCCATCACCAATAACACCGCAGTCATGCCTTTAACCAGCATCATCAGAATTACTTAAGTTTCCTTAAATCGTTATCGCTATCTTCCTTGCCACGGATACTGCCAGCCAAAAAACAGCAACAGCAGCAGCAAAAATTAACACACCACCAGCAGCAACATGATGCAGATACACTGCAACTCATGGCGAATCCAGAACCAAATTTTCACGGAGTGGCCACCAATTTGGAATATTTTACGTAACACGTTAGGGCTTTTCTGATGGTTGAGGCTAATTCTGTTTACATGCTTTTAGAATTAAGGAATGGAAAGAAAATAGACCTAAAAATCGCCTTTCTGTCAGTATTTAAAACACAAAATGGGAGGATGGCAACCTTTGACCCTTCCTTGTATCCACCTTGCCAAAGCCATCATTGCTATAGCAACAGTAACATCAGCACCGTAAAGGCACACCTTCAGTATCCCCATCAACATTATAACTTTGGCCATCATATAGCTGTCAACACCCCCATCATCACCATCATCATCACCACTCTCACCTATCGTCACTATGACTACCATCACAATTACTGATCTCTTTTGCAGACAACTTGGCAGTTGGCAGAAACATCAGCTCGGTTTCCTCCGGTTCAAAGGTCTGGTATAGGGTGTGATCTGTGACCAATATTCATTTCATTTTTATCTTTGCAAACTGGAGAAATGTTATTGCATTTCGTTAGAAAGCTCACCCCTTCTTGAAAATCCCCGGTGAGTTCATATCGAACTGTGTTTTGGACGTTCGCAGAGACAATTTGCATAGAGGACAAAATATGCACTGTATGTTGTTCACTATTTTCGAAGATAAAAGATATCTGTTTTCTATGAGACTACTTCACGGTACGTACACGCACAAAGCAATCGAGATAATGGACTCAGTAATTTCAGGAAGTTCATAATATGCAGTAAAGTGCAATACATTGACCTCCATCGGGAAAGTTCAGAAATTCGACCTTTTTGCTAGCGCCCATGACGCAGTGGTGAACTAGTTCAGAAACTGTACGTTCTACCGGATGGTTCTTGGGTGTTTTTCCATCAATCTTATAAGCATTCCCTACACAATGCCTCCTCAATTCATCCTCATGAATCAATGAATGAATCAATCCTCACGTGTGTTTATGTGTCAGTCCATTTCCTCGAAGTCGCTTAACTGTTTTATTACGCCTAGTTTCCAGCTGTGCATGTGTAACTCGATAATCTTCCATAGTCACTAACTTCTCTTCCTGTCGATTCTTCTCACGCTTACATTAAAATACATTGAATCGATTACTTCTCACTGCACTCTTGAAAAAAAACTATTCCAGCGCCTAAATATCGATTATTATATCCCAAACAACACAATTTGTTTGCACACTTAGGTGGTAAAGGAAAACCCTGACGGTATAATAACTCCGACGTTTCACCTTTCGTTTGGCCAACCACATAAAACATATGACGCGTTTTTCTTGTATAAAATGTTTGAATTGACAAAGTTGTACTTTGTTTATTTTTGTTATTAATGCACATCTTTTTGATCTCGTCTGTTTCCTGGTTAAAGTTGGTGCACCCACAGAAAGGATGCTGTAGGTATTTTTTTTTAATGAATCTCAGTATGTAGCGGCTGCAACTTAGACCAATTGCGTCGGCCAAATCACGTGACCTACAGTGGGTATCAACCCCATAGCAACGTGTGTTTGAGTGTTGGTTACAAACAGCAAAGCCGGTTTATGGTATAGTTTTGGTAAATGATACTTAAACGAAACCCTTTGCTTAGACACCCATGTTTGTTGATATTGAATACCCACTTTAGGTCACGTGATTCAGTAGGCACAATCAGTCTATTCTGAATATGCCTTTTATTTTTTCTTAACTTCTTATCATCAAATCTGACTCACTGAGATGAGCACGTAGCAATGAAATTAACAGATTCATACAGTCTGAAATCAATTATGGATGTTATACAGATTGAGGTTTTTACGGCACAGTTTGTGTGTGTGTGTTTCCTCATGTTCATTTGAAATAAAAGTTGGAGGAACCGGGATGAACTGGATATTGGTTGTGGGTCTATTGCACTTGACAATTATTAAGTCACGCATGGAGTCACGTACGGACTTGAAGTTCTTCCCATTGAATTGACCAATTTTTCTTCCGAGTCGTGTCCCTGAATGTAGCGTTAGTATTAAACTATTTCAATCTCAGATTAAACATCTGACTCTCCTGCAGGGAAGTACGCTGCATTTACACTGTAAAAAACGGTGGTCAAAACAATGTTGTTAATGTTGGGCATTTGTTATTTGCCCAACCTTGGT